CCGTATCCTTCACCTGGGTGCAATTCTGTGATGTCTCCTTCCGGCGAAATGAGCTGCTTGCTCCAAGCCCCCAACCCGGAAACTTAGTGCCTCGAAGCCGCTGCTGCCTATGTCGGAGGTCGTTGTGTGGGCACTGTGCAGATCTGCCCCGCCTCGCTCAACCTCTGGATGGGCCAGCAGTTCTCAGCACGAGTTGCGACCGGGATGGTTTCGGAGCTGCCCTGCTAAGCTGCTACTCGCTGAAATTGTGAGAGATCGAAGGGCATGGCACGGATTCCCCTGGCAAGGCTCTAAGAGAATCGCATGGACGTCCAGAACAAACAGATCGCGCGGGTCCGCGGCGTAGCACTCGAAGTTGTGCACTTGCACCCACTAACAAAAGCTAATGTTGTCACTTCAGGGTCGAACCGTAGTTACCCTCTGAAGACAAGTCACCACCTTTCAACTTCAGCAACTCTGCAACTGCTCTTGCCATTTCTTGCTGCTACCGTAACTGCCACAACTGAACCACGACCTCTGACAACGTAACGTGCAGCTGACAACTAAGCCGCGGGCAGTTGTTGTACTGGAGCTGATCGATGCGGAATCAGAACGCTGGTCGTCCCACTCGTATGCGGAGAAAACCTGCTGCCAGACACTATCCCAGTAGCCAAGACATCGTCGCTCAAAAACGGCAAAATCTCGAGAAATGGTCTTCCCAACACCTTGTCGCAGATGCGGCGTCGGGCCTGGACAAGTCGCGACTTGAAAGGTCTCGAGGAAACTTGTCCATTCCTGCCTTGTCGTACTCTAACCAAGCAGCACCATTTTGCACCCGAACCGCTTCTGCAATTTCTAGCCGCATTGGCACCATGTTCCCGCGACCTGGGCGAAAGAATGCCGAGCGAACAGCACCCCCTGTTCGCCAGCCGACTAAGCAGCGGGCGGTCTTTCGTGGTTTTGCAGACGAAACAGTGGTCCAACAACCTTGGACCGGAGGTGAGAGAGGTGAATCTTTCGAACACACACACACACACACACACACACCCTAAACAAAAATTCAGAGTTTTTAAGCTCCCTGAACTCCCGGCGTCCTACAAGGCCGTGGAGCTTTTGGAAGGCGCCGTTGCAAGTCGGCTCCAAGGCTTCCTTGTTGACCTCGAGGGCTATAGGGAGGTGACATCTGGAAGGACGTTCTGTTTCAACATGTTTCAGCAGAGTGTCAAGTCTAGACTGCGAGTTCTGCCTTCTTGCCTCTTTGTGTCCCCCAGCTTCGGGTTCAGCACCCGAATCGACCCTATCCCTCCATGGCACTCTTGAAGCCCATCCGCCCGAATTCCCTAATCTCTCATGGCACCTTTCTCTGGAACTCGCATCCAACACACCCATCGGCCCGCCCTTCAGAGGTGGAGCTGGGTCGCGCACCATTTTCGCCGCAGAGCCACCCATCCCGCGGCTTAGCATGGCCTGCAGCTGCCTATGTCTTACGGGCGCAAGCTCCGGGAACCCTTGGAAAGCCCAACCTCCACACCCAGGAGCCAGGAGCCGGAGCCCTGAAGCCCTCAACTCCACGACGCCACGCGGGTTCAGCCCCCGAGAAACCGAGAGAAAACGAAGGGCACCATCTTGCCTCGACATCCCAGCCCGGTGGCAGGGTTTTGCCGATGGCACGGGCGGCGTGCACTTTCACCTCAGCTTCTCTTGCCAACTGTCGGGGTGGAGCTCAGGAGCTTTGCCAAAAAGACTTCAAACAACTTGGGGTGCACCACAGCCCTCTGCTGCCGCATTGATGGTGACACTGGAGTATACTGGAGTCAGCACTTTAACAGTTGCAGCCTGAATCCTCCGGCAATGTCCCCCAAAGTAGGGCCACAAACACGGGGCCTGCACCCTCGACTCGGACAAGTCACTTGTTGCGCCCAGGTGTTTGCAGCCTCTTCGCTGTCTGCGCGAGCTTGCAAACAACCCTTCTGGTTCCTCATGTGGAGCGAAAGCGTTTTGCCTGACACCAGCATCGAACAAGGCAAGGTAGTTGTTTGGATGGAGAGCAATATGCTTCATGCTCATAAGGATTTATGTGTAGCAAATTCAAAAAAGGAAGTAATATTCGACAAGTATACTTTACTATTTAATTATGATAAGGATGTCATACTTCCTCAATTGAGCATACACCAGAACGTTACAAGAACGAGGGGGGAAGTAAGGACATGTAAGAGGAACTGGAGAGGCCTCTCCAGAGTTCTTGAAACAGCTTGGGCCTGGTTCCTGACACAGCTTGGAGTTCCTGAAACAAGTTGCCGTTACAACCCCCACAACCCCCAGGTTCCGGTTGCAGCGGTTACTCCCCCTGAATGTGACCACCGTTGCCTGAATGCGGGATTTAGGCTGTCCTTCATCGCGCGGCCCCAGTGACTACTAATGACTTCTGCCGGACCGCCTGTCACTGCAACTTCCTCCAGCTGGGCGAGGAGGAGCACAGCCACAGGCGACACCCGCGAGCCTCGTGGGGCTGGTGCACTGCGCAAAGCTCCATGCACAGACTACTGCCCGGCACTTGCTCACACAGCAGCGTGTATTTGAGCAGAGCTAGCAGAACAACTTCAATTTCATTCATCAATCGACGGAGGCTCCTCGTGTTGAACACGACTTCAAGCACAAAGGCAGTTCTACCCTTGCGGCCGCAGCCTCGTGATGCCGTGTGCGGCGCGGTGGCCCAGCAAAGGAGCTGGGAATCCTTCAGTTGGATGTACCGCCTCTTCCAGAAGAGACCTGCTGCTTCGGTTGGATATGTTGGGGGGGGGGGGGTCCGTGGAGAGGGCTTGCACTGCCTGCAACTGGCGTGCCAGCTGATGCTTTCGCCAAGCGAGCCACCTATAGAAGCTGCTGGGAGACGGCAAAGATGCGGAATCGCCGAGAAGGCACGAAGGGATACAAAGGGTCAAAGGCTCGGCCTGGAGGCGATTCCCACCACTCGGTTCACCATAGCCTTGGCTCTAAACGACTCAAAAAGATCTAAACAGACCGCCATGCACATCAGTTTTGCACAACGCAGCACTGCGGCAGGTCATTGCCCCCATTCACGACGGTTTGCGATCGAGCTGCACATTAACCACCCATGCATCTCTTTAAGGGGCACTTCTTCCTCAAGTGGAGCAACGTGGCACAAAACACGAAAAAAAACACAACACGCGCGGCCTCCTCCTCCTCATCATCCGCAGCATCGTCGTCCGAGTGCTGGCTCTCGTTTTCGCTGCCCTTGTCCTCCTTACAAGCTCAGAGCCACGGACGCTGACCACATTTCAACTCCGGAGACTTTCTTTGGAGTTTCGGCATCCGCTGCCAAGTGGCCGGAGGATCTGAGCATGGACTGGGTTCTAGGGAAATGCTCGGTAGCGGCAAGTCGTCGAGGGCAAGCTCTTCTGGCTGTGACGACCTCGCACTACCCGGCGCCGCATGCGCCGGCTTGCAGATTTCACACAGCTTCGGGCGTGGATGGTACGGCTGAGCGCTGAACGACAGGCATTCGAACAGATGCACACCTTGGAAGTCTTGCAAGTTTCCACATCAACATCAGCGAAGACGAGATCCACTCCAGGACACTAAGAGCTCGTGTAGACGATGTTACTTAATCCAACAAGACGGGCGGCGGCTGACGGGCAAGTCCTTCACGGATCCTCAGCTTGCATTTGCACACATAAGCACACCGAGAATTCTGCCTACCCTCTCAAGCCCAACAGCATGACGGGTGGGCCAAGACTCTGATCTCCATCCTTGGCAAGAAGGATGGGGGGTGTGGAGCTTGAAGATTCTTATAATTCTTGGGATGGATGGACCTGGGGAGGGGGGGGAAGTCAGCTCCTGCATTTGCATGTTTCTGGCGTTACACTCACCTCGCCAGGATTCCCATCAACGTCGCACACGGAGAACACCTTGTCCGCGCTTTCGTGCTCGAGCTTGAGGGACTGAACTTCTTCCAGCAGAGGCAGCGCATCGGACTGCGACTCTGTACAGCTGCATGCAGCCTCGGTCTTCGCAGCAAATCGCCACAAGATGCCGCAAGCATGCCAGACAGTCTCGGGACAGTCTCGGAGTCTCGGCACTGTCTCGGCCAAGCAGCCCTCCACAAACTATTCATGCCAGTGGCTCTCGAGGCCTGGGTCACTGCAAGACGATGTGAGATGCTGCCGAAGAAATGCCACCTCCCTGCGTAGCTATTCCGCTATTCGACACGAACACGCAACCCAGCATAAGCCAGGCGCAGGGAATGAGCAGAATGTCTTCACGACCACATGCGCCAGTCGCGAGCCTGTCACGCCAGCTGCAATAAGTACACGAAGAGCTAGCGATGCTCTCCTTGCCCTTGCTGCACCTGTGTGGCACAGACGCCCGTCCTCGGCAGGCACCAGAAGCAACAAAGGACACAACATATGACCGCGAACAACTGACAGAAACGACTTGCAAGAAAAGCCCGGCCTTTCAAGACTTGCGTCAGCCAGCACCAACTACTGTGCTTGAGCCACTCTAATCTCTGCGAGAAGCATGTTACCGTCCTTCGAGCTATGTTTTTGCTGCCTTACTTCAATGGTTGGACAAGGTTGAATTTGTACGCACACCCGCACATCCACACGCACGCACGCACGCACGCACGCACACACGCACACACACTCACACACACACACACACACACACACACACACACTTTTCAGCTCAGCTCGTGCTTCTGAGGAGAGATTGCAAGACTTGGGCCCCTGAAATTAACGCAGGCTTAGTTTGTGAGGGACCTCCATGCAGATCCTTGCAGAACGTCAACAAGTGGATTCAGAGCGGTCTATAGCGGTCTATGCACAAGCAAACAGAGACGCAGAGCCAAAAAAGGGCAAAGGGAGAGAGAGGAACGAAAATAAAGAGCGAGCTCTCTGGATAGGTTGAGGACATTGCAGCAGAGGGTGAATGAGCAAAAGGAGCGCTAGATGTTGCCTGAGGCTTTAACAGATCATGTACACGCAACTAAAGTCCAAGGCCTTCGTGCAAGAATCGAGGGAGCTTGCAACAAACTTGTCAGTGTTCTGGCAGTCGTCCTGACCGTTCTCGCTTGCACGTCACTACTGCGGCTGTCATGGCAAGGCAACGAAAACAGACTCCTAAATGCCTGTTCGTGAGACGGCAAGTACTTCAATGCAGAAGAGCAGACATCGCGGTCCCATGCTACAGCACAGAGCTGTCTGAAGATGATCCTTGAAAGTGCTAGAAAGGTAACACAATACAACACAGACTGCGCATGCAACCTTCATCTCGGCATTCTTAGTGGCGTGCGGACATGCAAAGTCTGTGGACCAAAACGCAGATTCGCACACCACAAGACGCGGATTCATGAACTGCCAGAACAATAGCAGCATGAATCTGCAAGTGCGAAGCTACTCTTGGGAATAGCGGCAAGAGGGTTCCGAGAATCGGGTGTTGTGCGTTGCAAGCAATACAAGAACTCAGGATGGAAGCAACGAGGCCTCGCGACTGCATATCTCTGACTCTTGTGCTGAGAATCTTGCACGGCTACACATGACATACATGGCACTCCGTGCAAAAATGTGCAAAACATACTCCAAAACGCAAGGCCAATAGGCCAAACAAGGGTCAACGACCGAAGATCGGTGTCCTGAAAGCAACCGACGGTGGCACCGAAGCCCTGCAAGTTCCTGTCTGGAAGCCACGCAAGTCACACAACAGTCCCTGTAAAATCACTGAATCACAACTCGAGGCCGCTGCGTGAAAAGGGCACGACCTGCATTCCTGATGACGACATTTTGCTCCTGAACAGCATGAGAAATGGTGCGACTGGAGCGAAACTCCACCGAACAACCAGCAGAAAGTTGCCCCGCAAGTCTGTCGGCTTAGAGATGCTGAGTGCGCGTTACAACAGTCGTGTTCTTGTGAGGTGCCCCGGCACCTGGCATGCTGGCCAGTCTTGCCCCGCGGCGAGACCGGAACATGCAAGGCCTCAGGGTCAGGAGTCAGGACTAGTTGTGGACTGAGTGGAGGAGATTGACTGCACTGAGCTGAGTCCGGGGCAAAGTAGGCGTGCCGACCACGCCTTGATGCTCACATGCTGCCACATACTGTCACATACCTATCGGCTACCTACCTGTCACCGTCTTATTGCCGTCTTAAAGTCTAAACTCTTAAGCTCCCAAGATGGATTCTTTTCCCTTTCAGGTCTGGGCCATCTGGCGCCGTTCGCCGCAGCGCGATTGAGCCGCAAAGCTGTTTCACAGTCCGAACTCCAAGTGTGTCATGCGCTGCCAAACAACCATAACACCCCAGACCTGCTGAAAGCATGAGCCCACTCGCACATTGGTTGCATGCTTTCAGAAAGTTCCAAAGGTAAGGACCTTCCAATATGCATAGCAGCTGATGAGCAACATGCCCTGACAGCCAAGGTTTCGGCTTCCAGTACTAGTATCCTAAACAGATCTTAACGGGTTTTAACACTGCCGGAGATGGCTAGATGCCACCTGCCTCAGAATTGTCAGATCAAGAAGATGAGGAAGCTAAGTCGCCCGGAATTGCCACGTTCTGTTTTGCCCCCGTGCGTGCAACCCACGGATCACTCGGATCACTCGGATCACTCGCGGGTCACTCAGGTATGAAGGAGCTTCGTGTCAGGACGCCCTCCGGCCTTCCAGAGTAGTCGACCACAATGAGCTGTCGCAAGCCCAGCTCTCGGAAGAGCAAATACGCTCGGTCAACTGGAAAGTCTCGGTGCACCGTGTAGGGTGCCGGATCGGCTACGGTGTCCAGCCGCAGCTGTGCTTGGCCCTCTGCCAACCAGGTTTCCAGCGCACGCCGCCGGACCAGCCCGACTAGCTGACCCCTCTCAGACACAATCGGAAAGCCATTGTGGCTGCAGCTTCGCAGCAGCTCCTCTACCGAGTCGCGGCTTTCGACCTTGTTCAGATATCTCAGCGGGGAAAGGTTGTCGCCATCGCCCGCGTCGTGGAGAAGCGCCGCGACAGGTGCCTTCCGATCCTCCGCGTGCAGTGGGCACTCCCGCGACAGGAACGGGAGCTTCGTAATCTGCATGAGGTCATGGTAGAGGCCATGGCCAATGAAGGAGCGGACTACAAAACGTCCTGTAAGGGCACCGAAGGCAATGGGAAGCACCGACGCGATATCTCCAGTAATCTCCACCATCATCGCAATGACGAAAAGGACGATGCTTCCCGAGGCACTCATGAAGGCTGCAGCCCCCACAATGGCAAAGGAGCCCGGGTCCGGCAAGCCGCATGCGTGCGAGAAGGAGGTGTTGATACCTTGCTGCGCCAGCATCTTCAGAAGCCTGGGGCTGCTGCAAGAGCCTACAAGGTGTGTAGTGAACGGGGGGCGCTCGCCCCCTGTGGCACTTCCTACGAGTAGCACCGGGTAGAAAACATTCCGTGCAGCTCGGCGGCAGGCTGTACTCGGGCGTCCAGTCCGATGGGCAAGTCCAAGCATCTCGAAACAGTTTGGTGAGCAGGTTGCCTGCCAGCCTCCCCACGCAACCTCCGATGATCATCATCGGCACGACCAAACCACTGGGCACAGCAGCTCCAGACGTAATCGCGGCCAGCACAAAGTACAGCGGGAGGAAGACAAGCATCGAAGTCGTGGGGATCATGTTTGGAGAACCTCGGGTGAAGAGATTCTTCACAGTGATTCTTCCCGGAACAAAGGCCAAGGCTGCCATGGGCCGGTACCTCGGAATGCTGATATTGCTTTCCGAAAACGTCTCACAGCCATAGGTTGGCCAGAACTCCTCAAACAGCTCCAACGGTGCCCGGGGCGAGGTGAAATTGTACACAAGTCCTTTGTGGAAGGAATCGAGGTCGTCGAAACCGCAGCAATAAAAGTAGCGTTCTTGCTCAGGAACAGAAGAAGGGAACTTGAGACCCAGTTTCTCCAAATTGCACGGCATGTGAGAGTCATTATAGATGGCTTTCGGACAGACATCAGGGTTATACTGCACCCCAAAGAGACCTGCAGATGGAACCATCTTCACTTTTTCGTGCAAGTTCTCTCTTCCTTCAAATATCTGAGTTGCCCACTCTCCGGCTATGCACTGGTTGCTGTTCGTGAAGGCTCGCTGAATCGTGCTCTCCCGACAAGTCGTCATTGCAGGCAGAAGGGTGCCAATCGAGCTTGACAGTATGGCAATGACGACGACCTCCACCGTAAAGATGTTTCTACGGCCCTCCGTCCGCCAGCGCTGCCGGAGGAAGTTCAGCTCCAGAACCACGCGGTTGAAAAGGCATCCAAGGAGACCACATATCAACCCGATCACTCCACAGCTTACGTAGTAGATGAATTCGCTATAAGAACAGTTTGGGCCTAAGAATACCTGAAACAAAGGGCTGTATTGTCCAGTATGCTTCCACAGCTCCTGCCATAGCAGCACCGTCCCCAGGGACACGCATGACGCGCCAAAGACATGTACGAAGAATCGGGGGGAAAGGTAGGTCGCAGCTTCCTCCACCACAAAGAGCGTCCCTGCACACTCAGGCATACATGCTTATAATACCCTGCAGAAAATAGCTGTAAAAAAGACAAAGAGATGTCTCAACTGCCGTCGCTTCTCCCAGAACATTCCGCAACGATGCCTGCCAAAGGAGCCCAGAAGGCTGCAGTAACTCCGCAGCCCGCGCCCACCGCTGCTGCGTGGAGCTCGAGGCTTCGGCTGCCGCCGCTGCCTTGCAAAACCCGCCGGAGCCAGTCGATTCGGCGACACTGCGCCAGAACCAGGACACCTCACGTGGTCATAAGATGTCATAAGTCATGGCCATAAACCAAAAGCCAAGACATTTTTTTGCGGAAGCGAGCACCGGCTTAGGTTCAAACAAACATCTCCAACATCCAATGCGACGTCCGACCTGCGGCAGCTCCGATGTGGATCATTGGCCCTTCCGGACCAACAGCCAACGAAGAGCCACAGGCGCAAATGACACCCAGGACCTTGGCCACCTCAGGGGCTCAGCTCAGCGGCACCTTTTGGCACCTTTTTGGGCACTCTTTTTGGCACCTTTTTTTGGGCACCTTTTTTCGGCACCTTTTCTTGGCACCTTGCACCTTTTTTTGGCACCTTTTTTTGGCACCTTTTTTTGGCACCTTCTTGCACTGCCCATCTCCCATCAGCCAAGGGGCCAGAATCTTCTCAGAGAACAGGTTCTTGAGGTCCACGCCGTTCAAGAAGGCAATGACACCTCCGGAAAAGGAACATGCCCCGGAGCCTTAAAGGCTTCTTCATCACTCAACTCAAGGTCCGGGGCTCAGCATTGCCCAGGGCTAAATCCTTGCAGCTGGGTTTTATGGACTGTGTTGGGATGTTCGAAGTTCGACGTGGTAATCCTGACATGAGCTTGTATTCTGATTTATTCCGCCTTTGACAACCCTAGACTGTTCATCTTGGTACCTGGTTTTGATTGTTTCGTAGAGCGCAATGCAAAGTATGTACCCGGGACGCAACGGCTAAAGTGTTTCTCCAGGTTCTTCCCCAGCACTCATGTTTGGCAACAGACGCCTGGGATGCCTCCACTTACGGCACTCGGCTGCCACAGCACGCAGGCATGGGCACCGGCCACATAGAGCACCGTGATCCTGAGACTGAGGTATGAGGTATGTGAAATGGATGCCAAGCAATGATAACGACAACAACAAGAAACCAGCAACGACTACGGCGACTACTGCTCCTAGGCCTACGCCTATGCCTACGCCTACCTCTACTACATCTTATGTACATGTGCCTACTCGGCTCCTACTCCTACAGTATGGTCCTCCGCCCACCACTTACCCCACAAACATGGAAGCTTGGCCAACACGGACTTAGCTTCAAGGTGTTGACGATCCATGCAGCGAAGATGCCCGGCAGCACCAGCCCCACCAGATACATGCGAAATGCGCTAAGCTGCTCATGACCATAGTGCACAGCTTGTGCACACACAGCAACCACAACACCGATCAGCAAGTCCAGCATCCAACTCCACAAGGAGCGGCCTGGGCGAAAATGGCAGAAGCGCCATTCACAACACTGCCTCTGACAAATCCGACCCTGCGAGCGGAGCAGGGCGATAAAAGTGCAAGAAACCGTGAACATATTTAAAGGGCGATCGTCATTGGGAAAACCGAAGCCGCTCGCCCTTTCCAGGGTGTGCTAGAAGCCGTCGGGGATCATCTGTCACTGCACAAAGTAGAATGCCACTGATTTCAAGGATTCGGCCAACGCCGCCTTTGAGTGTTAGAGCATTTGGTCCTTGTTGCCTTTGCGTGTAATGTGCCGGCAATCATGAGAATCACAGCTCGAAGGGCCAACAAGAGGTCACAAAACCTCCAGAACAGACCAAAATCAAAAGATCTCTCCAATAGGCAATGCGGGCATGCCACGCACACAACCACTATCCAGTGCGAAACTACAACGCACGTATGAGGGTAGACGCCTTGGCTAGACATGCATCTGAGAACGCGGGGGGTGTGGTTACAAAAGGCAGGATGGAACGTCATCTGAGCACGCAGCTGTAGCAGCAGCCCTTGGGCAGCTCAGCCCCTCTGCTGCTCCAGACGTCGTGCAGCTCCACCGACTCAGGGCGATTGGAGGCGGTGTCCCGACCCCTCTGCGCAGAGACATCGCCGGGATTGATTTCCGACAAGGAGATACTCATGGCGCCAAGAAGACTCGGGCTGCTCGAGCCTAACCTGGCTGCGCCGTGCTGCGCCGTGCTGCGCCATGCTGCGCCATGCTGCGCCATGCTGCGCCATGCTGCGCCATGCTGCGCCATGCTGCGCCATGCTGCGCCATGCTGCGCCATGCTGCACCTTCAAGAATACAATGTCCCTTAAGCCTGAAAAAGGGGCCTAACCCCCAGTGACTGGGAAACTGCTACACTGACACGTTGTGTCAGAGGTCGCTGCCAGGCGGCTTCATTGAAAGCTTTATTATGGGCTGCCATCCTGGCAAAGAACACTACTCATCAACAGACCTCGGCAGTGCCGTGAAGGCACAGTTCTCCTGTGCACTCTTGAGCTTGCCCCCAGTATTCCGTGCCAGGGGCTTGTTTTCTACAGGGGCATGGACCTGCCCTCACCGCATCAAAATTTGCTTCACATTCCCCGAAACAAGGAGTCACGATTGTAAGCACAAGGAAGGAGTAGTAGAGCCTCCAAGGGTGGGATTCCCACGGGCCTGAGCACGCTGATAAGGACACTCGCTTCAGAATCTTCCGCCTGCTTGGCACACCATCTGAAGAGGCTCGTGAACAAGGCTGAGGATTTGAAAGGCCATCGTGGACGAGCATGTTTCTGAACCTCTTTGAAGGACTGTCCTGGTGAGTGTGTGTGTGTGTGTCTACCCTAGCTGCCTTCACTCAAGAGCGCTTGGTTGGGATCTGCGTCCCTCATCGATTTCCTGAGAACTTGATGCGCAGTTTCCGACATGCACTGCTGGGAGTCTACACCTGTCGGGCCAGTCACACTGCGCTACCTGGATGACTTGCCTGGGTTCGTGCCATGATGTGGCCACAGTGGCCACTCCCTGCAAACAGGTTGTTCGTCTGAGTGAAGAGGCAGAAGAGAGTGAGTGAAGAGGCAGCTTCTCTTCATAAACTGCGCAAGCAAACAGAAGGTGCACACACTGCCGGAAACAATAGAACAATGCAATGGGCTGAGGTTGTGTGTTGGGCAGCTCGGACGCAGATGATGAGTTCGCGGTGCATGAGAGGGGATCGGGATTGTCAATGACAATACCACAGCGAGCCAAGGCAGCTTGGACTGGGGCATGGTCGCCCCCAGTGCTTCCGATCTTCGTGAGGCACAGTACAATGTGAGTGAAGATCAGTGCAGGCCCCCAGTTGCTTGGATCACGCCCGATGCAGGTTGCAACATCGCTTCTCTGAGAAAATCATGACACAGACGGAAAAGGAGCTACGACACATGCTCCGACGCGTGCTGCCACGCGTGCTACCGTAGCTTGCTGCCCCTTCGAATGATCTCGCGTTCAGCACAGTGCATTCGCTGCTCATCGGCAGTGACGCAAAAGTTAATTGGCTATTGCTCCTTTCCTCCAATTCGATGTGTGTGCTCAGCCATGGAAACTTTCGGATCAACTGGCTTCAACTTTAAGTACCCTGTTCTCAACAACCTTTGTAGATGAGTAGTTGTGCGACTGGGTTGCCCCACGATTGATACACAAAGTGGTGGGGCCTGGGTGAGTTAGCTTTTTGACCTGGCGCCATCCACCGCAACAAACTTCAACTGAGCAACTGCTTGAGCTGTCAAGCACACAGGAGGCTTGCTTCAAGCGAAATCGCTGCTTCGAATCGGACTGCTGGGAACGGGGACTGCACCAAACCGCAATTCACCGCATTCCACAAACGGAACCACCGAGAACCGGTGGGAACCGCCACCCCGGACCTCCCAAGAACTTTATCAGCCGGAGCCTCCAGCCACGCGCCTCGCCCCCCCAAGGCTGTCACCTGTTCTCCCCCATGAGGATTTCGGGCGCTCGATACCAGGCAGCTACGACCTCAAAGGAAGCCAGAATGCTCTAAGCACGCTTAGAAAGCCCTAACAGGCACCTCTGCGTGAAATTACGCCTTGTGTACCTGCACGACGCCGGCATACACTAGCCCGAGCAGCCCAGGAAGTGAAGTGACAGGACTCCGGCCGATAAAGCCGCGAGGCCGAAGTCGGGGTGAGACCTGCGGCCTCTGCGCAATTACATCTGCTACAGTTCTGCAGAATTATACCAGAGAGAGAGAGAGAGAGAGAGAGAGAGGCTCTGAGGGAAAGGTGTGGAGTTGGACCGTTGCACCTGAGCTGAAGGCTGGAGGTCGCTGTGCATCCGGATGCTGCGGCGTGCCTCTGAGGCGCGTGATCGACCAATCAAAGAAAGGAATCCAACGCGCATGTTCCTTGATCTCCATGACACGGACCTTTTTCCCCGCGGCATGCCACGTTCAATAAAGCTCACGCGAAATTGGCAGATAATGGGAATTGAAATGTCCTACTGCACTACAACGTCCGGACGCGCGTACCGGCACTTCGCCACCACACCATGACGTCCGGGAATCCCCTGTAAGAAGGGAAACTACAAAGGTAACTACATGGAACAACCAGCATGACTACCGGAAGTTCCGGAAAACATCTGGGCGGGAACGGAGCTCTTCCAGCCACATATGGGCACACTTGATGACTGCATCCGCAGCTTCCTCCTGAAACACGTGGCCAGCACCATTCTGAAGCCAATAGAGGCTTACTTTACCTGAGCACGTTTTTGGCAATCAGTGTGGCGATATTATGCGCCTATGTGGCACCTGTGTCAACAGCTCTTCGGCAAGTGATTTTTTCAGGCAGGCGGCACTTTGCCAGAGAGAGCATCTGGTGAATTGTGTCCTTCGACAAAAAAGAACAATCACAAGCACACACCGCAACACAAGAATGCAAAAAAGAGGCAGAAAAAACAATACACGGCCAACCTCTTCACCTTTCCGACAACTTTGCCAAGACTCGGGGAATGTGGTTGGGATTTCCTCGTCGGCCTTGTCGTAGATGGCATGCAATCGCGTAGCGGTCCTGCTCGTGCAACAAGGCCATCAGTCGTGGTTGACAGGCAAAAAACGGCACGAGTCCTCACTTGAGGAGTCAGGCGCTTGCCGAGCATGGAAGCTGCCGGAACGCCGCTATGGCAGAAAGCAACGCCATCGATGGGCTTCTCCTAGCAACAACATGCTCAAGGTTTCCCACTGTGAGACTTTTCCATGCTGGGTCCATCAGGCACATGCCGGCGTAGAGCGCCACCACTCCTGGGCTTGGTTGTTGGGAACTCTCCACGAACGCTACTTGCCACGAGCACCTGAAACATCGGAGAGAAAGCGCTTGCGGCAAAGGGGCCCCCCTGGCCAAAGCCGCCAAAGAAGAATGGCAAAGAACTGCCTCAGGAGCAACTTCAGCGAACAGAAGACCACACTTAAGGGAGGCCACCAAAGGACGCCAAGGACTCGCACAATTCTGCCGAATGCTGGACTCTCCAAGTGGCTGGAAGTGCGCTTAAGCTGCTGCTCCTCGAGCTGCCTTAGACTCTTTCTTAGAGCAAGAGAACAAATTCCCACGTTGGACATGGGATTCAGTCTAAGCCTAAGCGTTGCTGCGATGACGCTGTCCCCCCAAGTCCTGTTAGGCCTAAGACAATAAGGCTGCAAACAAAACCTCCCTCAAGCTTCAAAGGAGTTAGCTCTCGTGAAACGAAGCTCAAGTACGCGCCACGTAGCAGGACTGCCAACGACTGCCAGGCTGCGCGCGCCTCTTCAAACCCAGCGCCGCGCACTCGACCTGCCGCAGGGCATCGATCTCGCCCGGCAGCAGCGGCATCTCAAAGGTTGCAGCCTCCGGCGCACCGGTGCACGTCGGGAACAAAGGTGCACAAGGCAACTTCAAGCCAAGAACAACCAACCTAAGGTTACATAAACGTCACACAAGGTGGAAACGTCCCGAAAAAATGCGCAGCGGATCGTAGCCCAATCAAACTCAGCCCAGCGCCCCTCTTGAACGTGACAGGTCCCCTCGCGGATTCCCGAGTTCATCGTCAACAACACCGAAACGCAGCCCGAGCTGCCTCAAGGTGACTCAAAAAAGCAACTCAAACACAGATTCATTTTGATTCAAGTTGCGCTTTCCTGCAACTTTCCTCTCTGCGGCTTCCAACACAGCGTTCCTACATTCACCCGCTTTGCCGAGGTGCACTGCTTCGTTGTCGGACCTGTTCTGCTCAGGTCTTAAGCAACGGCAGCTTATTATTATGATGATTACTATTTATTGTTATCATTATTATTACTATTACTACGATTTTTAATTTCTAATATTATTATTAGTAGTAGTATTGCACATAAGATACAGGAATTACCAGCGCTCTGCACGCCAAGCGGCAAGTCATACCTGGCACGAGCAGGGAGTGGCAACACTCAGTAAAGACAAAAGCATTCCTACACATACAATTCCTACATATAATACATAAAATTCATAAAACTCATATGATTCCTACATAAACTTCATAAAATTCATATATCTCAGATTCCGCTCGAAGCCAAGGAGCCACTTCAGGTCTTGCTCGAGCTGATGTGGCTCCAGGATGACCACCCTCAATTCTCGGTAGGCAACAGTGAGTCTCTCCAGCCAGTGAGCGTGCTCTTGTGGAATCTCACCCCTCCCAGGCAACCAAAACAGCACTGCTTCCGCTTTGGCAGGACTGCTCCCGAGTTCCTGGGCAATGGGTGTTGGGGATGTGTCACTGGTAAACCTTTCGATGGCTCCATCCGCTGCGTCCGGATGCAGCTTAAACAGGCCCTTCTCCTTGTCAACTCGCCAGTTGTACTCCTCCTCTGCACCGGCATCCTCCCACTCCAAGAAGTCCAAGTCCCAGCTACGCCGGAGCCTTTTGCCATCTTGCAAGCTTGTTTCCTGAAGCACAATTGCATCATCACCTGCGTGTTGTCTGGTGATCTCTTCTACGCGCGGTAGATGCAGAACCACGCAATGTGTCCTGCCGATCTGCTTGGCGTTCAGCACGGCCATGTTGAAACGCTGAGTGGTGTACTCTTTAATTATAAACTGCATCTTCTTGTCTTTGACCATCTGCGTCACTTCCAACAACATCCGATTCAGAATCTTGCTATTGGTTGCAACATCTCGGTTTAGCCACTCGTCAAAGCTAAACTGGAGCATGTTGCCTTTCCACTTCTTGCCGGTGGCCAGGGACACTGCCTGTTGGCTTCCTCCCGCAGCCACGCCGAAGCAGACTAAATCACCCGTTTTCGCGAGTGCTTGCACCAGTTGATTCGTCGCTGCGCCGCCAGCACCATCCAAAGCCAAGGCAGGCAGATCCTGTCCTGCCTCCTCCAAGATGTCCCGAATGTTGTCCTGCATGAGAAAGACGCGCTTGGCTCCTAGGCCTTCCAGTTTCTGCTTGATCCACTCTTCCCCACTGTGCTTCCGCACCACGGCCAGGACGGTAAAGCCTTTTGCCACCATCAACTGGATCAGCACCTACAGGGACTCTACAGGAAAGAGCTCTCTGCTGAGCTCTTCAGAGAACGTGCGCGATTTTGCGCGTTCGCGTTTGCGAGCCCCACGCCTGCCCAACCAAACCTCGGACCACGTGTGAAGATATTGTCAAAGCACAAACGGTGCGGGATCAACAAGCAAACCCGAACGTGCGGCTTGTGGCCCTTGCTGCCAGGGAGCCGTTTGCACAATTCAAGATCACGGTGCTACCAGCTGACAGCTTGTTGGTGTGTTCCTGTCGACCAAAGAAAGGCAGTGCCGACAAACGCAAAGATGCAGAATGAAGTTCAAAGGGCCCGAAAGGCTAAAGACGGTTGCAGCCTGGACGAGAAGGCAGGCAGCACCGATTGACTTGGCCAGCGCCTAAGCAACTCCGAGAGCTGCTTGTAGGGGGGGTTGCGAAAGCTAGCGAATCCAGTTGCTTTATCATAGGGCGCAGCAGCAACGCATGCAAATGCTTGTGCATGGAGGAATGCTTGCAGTATCACATTGAGTCAGGGATTATGTTTAGGGTGCCACGAAACCAAATACTGCATGCAAGATGGAATAGGCAAGGCTAGGGTAACTGCTTGCAGATTTGGGTGTGTGGTCTACAACGAGCCAACGATGCTGCAAAACAGGAGTGGGTGAGCTACAAATGACGAACCAAATACCACCGCCGCCACCACCACCACCGCACCGCCACGACCACCACCACCGCCGCCACCACCACCACCACCCATGCGACACCTTAACTATTGATGAACACACCTTGTGTGCCCAACGTCCCTTTGTGGCCAAGCAAGAAGATGTGTCAACGACAACTACAGCAAGCTCCAAAGCTAACTAGCTGTGTCGTCCTTTGTGTTAACAAGCTAAGTGACCATGGTCGCGATGCTCAGGGGCGAATCCTGGCTTGCTGCGTGGCTACGTGTAGGAGTTGGGAGTTGCATGGACCTAGGCTTAACCTCTGAATTGTGCTTCATAAACGGCATTCTTCACGCTCTAAGCCACGGGGCTCAAGCAGGGGGAAACATGACTTGCATGGGCTTACATACACTTTACCGATGCTAAAACCTTTGCACCTGGCACCACAAGGCCTAGTCACAGTGTCACATTGCATGTTCTCATGTGCGGTTCTGAACTCGGCTCAAGATCGCTCATTGCCAAGGGTCTGCTGAAAACTCCAGCTTCGCACACCTGCACAGGGCTTCGGAAGACAGGCTTCAGTCACGGCATGAAACACAACGAAGCACCATGAAGCAAAGGTCACGAGCATCTCCGACGTTGGCCTGCTCTCTTTCCAAACGCCCAGCACCCTCCCTGTGCCCGGGGGCAAGGCATCCTTGCACATGTGCGACTGCTATAGGAACGACGAACTGCCAATCGCGGGCTTCCTACGTCTTAGAACTCCGAATGCTGTCCAGATCGATGTCTCCATCCGCGTCAACGTCATGAAGCGGAAGAACCCAGTCCCCTGGACAAGTCATAGAGTCATCGCATGAGCTCCTTCAATACCATACTGCAAACCCTGGGAGATGGTCCTGGCTTCAGGTTCGTCACCCGCGGCCCCACCAATCGAACTTGGCCGATCCCTTGGCACCCGTAGATGTCGCCACAACTGTACCTGACAATTCTCCGTGACAGTCCCTTTCCCGGATCACCTGAGAATTGTAAAAAAGCTCGGCCTGTTCTCTGCGTTGAGGTCCGACATCCTTCAGCTATGGACAAGACGGGAGCGCCCAGGCTACACACTCGCATGATGAATCTGCTATTCTCGGAAGCAAAGGGTCGTCAGCGGCACGGCACGCATCTGCACCAGCACCTGACCCTCTATCAGTCCTTAGATTAGACGCATCCTGATCTGAGAAGCTGAAAGGCCGTAACATCTGCAACAACCGCACACATCCAGCTCAGCGTCTGGAGTTCTCGATCATAGGGTAGGTGTCCACCTCTGGCGACAGAAGCACAGTCTTTCCACGCCGTGGGAACGTCTGAGCCCCATGCCAACTTCAGTGTCCGCTTGCCCTCCTGCAAGGCATAACTCTGTGGGATCAATGTCACGGTTAGCACAAGCACATTTCGCGATACTTCTCTTCCAACAATGTTCTTAAAAAGAGGGTGAAGGATCAAAAAAAAAATAAATAAGCATCAAAAAAAAAATAACCCCAAGAGATCAAAAAAAAAATAAATAAGCATCAAAAAAAAAAATAACCCATTTTCCTCTTGGAATACAGGGGGGGGGGGGGGGTTGGGGGGGGGGGGGGGGGGGGGGTTGGGGGGGGGGGGGGGGTGGGGTGTGGGGGGGAGGGTTGGGGGGGGGGGGGGGGGGGTTGGGGGGGGCGCAGCCCCCCCCCCCCATTTTTGCAAAGACAATGCTCGCACGATGGGTTGTAGTGGGTGGTGGTAGTGGTTGGAAAACCTTCTATTTTCTCGATCTTTTACTCGGAAAACCTCTATTTCTTCATATTCCCACAAGAAAACCTCTATTTTCTTCACGTTTTCATAGGAAACCTCTATCATCTCTATGTTTCCATCGGCAAACCTCTATTTGCATGTATTTTAAGAAAAACTTAAACTTTTAGTATCCCAATGGCTTCAACAAGATTCATAAAGCACGCTTTGCAGTGGCACAGCTTGATAAAAACGCGGCGGGGTTGGGGTTGGCGCAGCCCCCCCCCCACACACACCCCCCCACTTGGCTTTGCAGCACGCTTTGCACAGCTTTAAAAAAACAGCGGGGGGGTTGGGGGGGGGGCAGCCCCCCCCATTTGCAAACAATGTTCGCACGATGCGTAGAAGTGGTGGTAGTGGTTGGAAAACCTTCTAGTCTCTCGATCTTTCAATGGGAAAACCTCTATTTCTTCATACTCCCACAAGAAAACGTCTACTGTCTTCACGTTTTCATGAGAAATCCTCTATTATCTCTATGTTTCCATCGGAAAAACTCTACTTCTACATGTTTTAAGCAAAAAACTTCCATTTTCTTTGCATTCCAATGGCTTCAAAGAACAATATATAATACATACTACATAATATATAAAATATACTATATAATGAATAATAACTAATAAATAAATAAATTAAAAAAATTAACATTATATATTTTATATATTGTATATTATGTATACAGTATATATTACATATTATATATGATATACTTTATATTATGTATGCAGTATATAATATGCAATATACAATACATGATATGCAATATATGACATATAATATACAATATGCGATATATAAATAGATATATATATATATATGTTTATTTATTTATTTATTTATGTGTATTTATTTATTCATATTTATATTTACTTATTTATATACATACACATATCATATAATGTACGACAATATGAAATATAAATATAAATATAAATGATATATATATATAAATATGTATACATAGATATAAGTATAAGTGTATAATTATATATATATACATATATAATATATAATATATTATATATATATATAATAAAATATATATAGAAATAAATATATAATATATATATAATATATAATATATAATATAATAATATAATATAATGTATTAATATGTAATATGTAATAATATATATATAATATATAATATATAATATATATAATATAAAATATAATATATAATATATAATACATAGTACATACGACATAATAAATATGTAACATATAATACATAATACATAACACATAATACATAATACATAATACAGAATACATAATATAAAACATATAATATATAATTCATAATACATAGTACATAAAACATAAAACATAATATAGAATTCATAATACATAATTAATACATAATACATAATACATAATACATAATACATAATACATAATATATAATATATAATATATAATGTATAGTATATAATAGGTAATGTGTAATGTAAAGTAATGTGTATTATGTAATATGTATATATATATATGCACCTACATACATACATACATACATACATACATACATACATACATACATACATACATACATACATACATATACACACACGTTGACCTTCGCTATCGTGTGTATATAATATATATTTATGTTTATTGATTTTTACTTATTCGTCTAATTTAACTATTTATTTATACGCATAGGACCCGCAGGACCAGGCGGACAGACAAGCAGACCAGAGGACCAGAGGACCAGGGGACCACAAGACCAGGGGACCACGGGACCAGAGGACCACGGGACCAGAGGACCACGGGACCACAAAACCACGGGAGCAGAGGACCACGGGACCAGAGGACCACGGGACCAGAGGACCACGGGACCAGAGGACCACGCAGGTGGGCCGGATGGCCTATTTTTTTTTTTGATGCCTATTATTTTTTTTATTGATCCCTATTATTTTTCTTTTTGATGCTTATTATTTTTTTTTGATGCCTATGCCTTAAAAAGAACTTGTTGCAGCGAACAAATAGGGCTCACGTCATCAACCGCAACCATGCAACCACCACCATCACCACCATCACCGCCATCACCACCACCGCCACCAAGCCTTCTCCGTCACCGTGATATGGGCCACCGACTGCTCAAACTCCTCAGGAACTGACCTGAATACGTGCATGGTGCGAGTAGTGACAGTTAGGTTCCTGTTCGAGCAGAGTGCAGCCGAAAGACACGGACTCCAGCGTGCGACCTTCTACGAGCGCCTGAAGCGCAGGCGGCAGCTGCACCTGTTCCAGGTTGCTGCGCATCATGTTCTGATCACCTGATCCGTGTGCTGCCCCGCGCCCCCCAGGCCTTCTTGCGGCACGTAGCTTCTTGCGGCTTCGCGGCAGGGGCCTGCGTCGGGGCTCCCAAACTTTCCGGGTCCACGGCATCTCTGCGAAGCCGCACGGCTCGCCTGCCGCGGCGCACCGCACTCCTGCCAATTCGGATGTCAGCTGTGGTTTTGCTGAGTGGCGTGCTTTTCTGGTCACACCAGTTCTCGAGAAAACGACTGAAAAGCTCCTGACAAAACTTGGCATTTTCCGGAAGCTGCGAGCCGCACTTCCAGCACACCACCTCTTCCTGCACTGTAGCAAATCTCTAGCACTCGGCTCTGGGCCTCTCACAGTGCGCAGACCTTTTGGGGTGTAGGCACGGCATTGCGAGCCCGTTGCCCGTTCCGGACCTCAAGAAAGCCACGTGTACCATCAGATCACGCGATCACAAGATCAAAAGGTCAGAAGCTCAGGCCAGAAGGCCGCAAGATCGCAAGGTCATAAGATCAAGAGCAAAAACGAAGATGAGAACATCCGAATATCATTTGATGTCATATCATATCATCTAATACTCTATTCTATCATGTTACATCTAAGCCCATCGAAAATCACCTAATATCATCCAATACCATCAACTAGCATCTAAGGTAATCAAAGATCAGCTAAGATCATCTAATATCAACCCATACCATCATCTATCTATCATGTGAAACGTATATCATGCTATACCACACTGTGGATACGACTATGTCACATATGTTATATAAAGGCATATTAGGTCATGTTTACGCATATCAAGTAATAATATACCATCTTGAGTCACATCATATTAAGTATCAAATTCTAATAACTCATGTTAAATCATGATGTTCACGTGCAATCATGTCAAATCAAGTCTCACATGTGTTCAGCCCCACCTGGCTCTTCTTCTTTCGATGAAAGCAGCTACGTGAATGAACATCAGTTCTGCTGGTTTTGACGTAGCGAGGCACATCTTCAGGCACGTCAGTCTTGCCGGTCTCGTCGTAACGCTGTCTCAGCGCCACCTAAAGCATAGCGGCAGATGAATGACTAAGATGAAATGTTTCTGTCATCAGGCCATTCTGCGGGCCCTCTCAATCTTGTGTGCAGACCCTCCTGCCATTGCACCGAAGTCGCATTGCACAGGATGACGTACGCGGCTTGCAACTCTGCAAACTCTTCACGGTCACCACCTTGCCAGATGCAAGCTACCAAGATAACCTTCTGAGGTACATGGATCACACTAGACAGAAAGCGTAGCCACGTCCGTGATTATCTCCAAAGCTGCTAAACAACTGGTCAGAGCCTGTAGTCATGTCATGGATGATCCGATGGGTCGTGGACAAGATTGCACAACCATCTTGCCAAACATGCTGCGGTCACTCTCGGAAACCGTTTCTGGGGCTGTTTCTGAGACCATCTGGGCAGTCGGCCTTTGTCCGGATGCAGCTGCACTGCCAGCTTCCGGTAGGCCGCACGGATGGTGGGCAAGCTGGCATCCTTAGATTTGTCTGAGATCGTCTGAGACGGTCTGAGTGTCTCGACAAGCAAGGAAGACCTGAAGAGGCTCTGAGGCTCTGAGGGCGTGTCCCTCGCCACACCCAGAACCTCGTAGAGATTCCGGTTGACCGTGGCGATCCCAGGAGCCACCATGGCACCGGACTTTTGGGTTTCTCAGGTCTCTCGGTCTCTTGCAGGGCAAGAGAAAGGCTGAAGCTTGAGTTGTATGTTGCTGAGGGCTCTTCAAGGCTGTGAGGGTCCTCAAGACTCTTCAAGCTGAAGTGTCAGAGGTGGTGAGCAGCATACGAGGTCATGCGGTGTTCAACGTCTGCTACGAGTGCCAGGTGGCATACCTGCAGAGCCTCAAGAAAGGCATCTCTCCGACGTCACACTCCAACATGATGTCAGTTGCATACGTTCTGTGCACAGCAGAGCGGTTTCAGCACGAACCCTCTTCAGAAGCAATCCAGCGGAGCGGACCATGGAAGCATGCGCCAATGCCACAGCATTTTTGAACCTGTGGGAAGCTTAGGGAGAAGAGGGAAGACAACAGTTCATCTAAAGACTTGAACTGCCGGTGCAAGAAGAGGCTTGAACATTCATAAGTTGGTAGTGAAGGCGTACAACGATTCGAAACTTTAAACCTGGGTATGGGGGGGACGACCCTCGCCCCCAAGTAGTACTGGAACGAAGAAATCATACTGTTTTGTGTTTGGGTTCATTCAGCCAGTTTCCCGTGAAAGGAGCATTGGTGGGATCTCGAGCTAAATGTCAATGAAGAGCTTTGTTCAGCATGGACTCAAACACAAGTCCTACAAGCAGCTGTGGGTTGAACAACAGATTCTTTTCAAGTGGGCTTGTTCTGTTAAACTGCGATTGGACATGTTGCGTGATTACACTCCTGCCATCTCTTTTTGTTTCTCTCTTGCCCTCTCGCTCTCTCTTCACGTCTCCAGCACCAACCTCCGTGGATTCGTCCGCGTCAAGTATCATCCTCGGGACATGGTAGCGGCTGCAGACTTCACATGAAGGTTTTACATGCACCCGGCATGACATTGAGCGGAACTTCGCGGAAATTGGAGGCTTAAGGGATATCGTAGCGGCCATGGGGGACCGTAGCCGCTCCCTTGGAGAGCTGCAAAGCAACATGCAGCAAAATGCCACAAGGCCCCGGCATTCGAATCTAAATCATCTCGTCATCCCCAACCCCAAGGGCTCACTGGAGCAGAAGCGGGCCAAGGAAGGCAAAACTTGTTTCTCACTCTTTCCCTCTCTACCTACCTCTCTCCCTCCCTCTCTCGTGAGCTGCACAACTTCATTTTTCAATCGCTGCTTCGCAGCATCATTCCTGTCACACCACGACGTCTTCAGGCAGAGTTCCAGGCCGTCCGGTTCTCAAGATTCTCAAGCAACACACACTTCAAAAACACACTCTTCACCTTCACTCAAAAACCTTCACAGACGCCTTCATGGAGTCGCCCTGCACTGCAGGCTTCGGAGAGCAACCGGCCGAGGCCTCGAACATGGCCCCCTTCGAGCGCACGGCTTCCCGCAGGAGTCCCACAAGCTGTCATCACGACTTGAAGCCCGAGGACCTACTACCTACTCGCCTACTTTTGCCTCAAATGCTGGATTTGGTGGTTTAGCAGGCTACTTCTGGGGAGTCAAGTTGCAAGGGAACTATGCCTGCCCTGGCAACGTTGGCCAGGTAGAGGCATAAGAACCGATCACTGCTCAACTGCTCTGTCATCGCCCCATCATTCGCCAGAGGAGGCCACGCTTCTTCTTGTTTGCGGAGGCCTGGGGGCTGCCGCTAAAGGACTCCAGAAAGGAGGCCACCTGCACATCGCCTTGGCTGGTCTTCTGCGCAAGCCAGATCGCCATCTGGATGTTGTTGGGAGGCACCCCTGCTGAAGCCAAGGCCTCCATAAAGTCCCCCGGCTCCAGGGTCCTGGACTCGGCCTCGATGACCTGATGCTGAAGCACTTGCCGAAGCGCATGGCCCGGGATCTCGCCCTGCGCCCACTCCACGTGACTCCTCCAGATCCCTTGGCTCTGCACAGAAGCCATCTGGCTGCTGAGCGCCTCCACGCTGCCTCCGTTCAGCAATGCCACGGCTTCCCGTCTGGAGAGCCCCAGTGGCAGGGAGGCCAGCACTGCTGCCAAGCTGGCCAGCTCTAGGCTGCCCCAAAGAGCCAGAAGAGCTGGTAAGCGATCTGGGAGAAGGCCGTGGCTCTCTAGGACGGCGGCCGTCCGAGCGCACACGACCTGGATCTCCTCGGCCGAAGCATCGCTTGCCTGGCTTGCCTCCACGGCAGGGCAAGGCAGCGCTCCCCCAGGAACACCGAGATGCGCGCTGCCGGAGCCGCCGAAGCGCTCCGCGAACTCCTCGTAATCCACGAGCCCTCCAGAGCTCTTGTCGGCCAGGAGAATGAGGGATGTCAACTGGTCGGACCTCAAACCGCTGCTTGGAAATGTTACTGAGTTCTTGGATGTTGTGGGGTCCGTTATGGCCCATTGCATCCGACTGCATCACATTGCAGAGCTTGGGCTGCGACGTGAGATACCTCTCCGTTTCCATGATCACACGCCTGGAGCAGGGGAGCAGGCAGGTTGCTTTCAAAGCATTTTCCAAGCCAGTAGGCACAGAAAAGCACGAGACGTGAAAGAGAACAGGAAAGCCTGAAGGCTCCCTCTGGCGCCAGACGGGAACCGCCTGTGCAGCGTCGCTGCAGCTCAGAGCCTCAGCTTCTCTCGGGATCTCTCAGCGTCGCTGCCGCTCTCTGGGCTGAGGTGGCGTTTTTGGCTGAGTAAACAGCACCAGCCACAGGAAAATCGCCAGTTCGGGCGGCAAAAACGCAGTTGCTGCTTCTTGTCGCGACGTCGAGCTTGAAATGAAGAGCGAGTTACACACAAAGGACAGAGGTGGGCTGATGTCGGCATCAATTGCGTCAACCCCGAAAGGAGGGCCACAGGCTGAGGTGAGAGCGGTTTGGCAGAACGGAGCGATGCAGAAACTTTAGCTTCTGCGCAGGCGAAACTCTGTAGCAGGCACTAAGGTTCCGACTGATGCGGCTGCACAAACCTCTCTGGGTGATCGCAGCCTTGGTGCTCAGGGGCAGCGACAAGTCCCTGTTTGTTCAATTTTGAAACAGTAGGTAGTAGGTGTCTTGCAGATATCCACGTTGGAGGCTTGCAGCAATCTTCCGAGTTTGCTCGGGCAATGCCTGCAAGATTCCACATCTGAGCAAAGCAATGCGGATCTGAGCAGCCGCCACTCAAATTGCAATTAACGTTCGCTTTTGTGCCGCTGTGCTGGTGCTCTCGCTTGTTGCTGCCGGCATCAAGGTGCCGAAGAACTTCCGGTTCAAGATCAGTGAGGAGATCTCATGATCGTCATCTCCACCACGGCTCATCGCACCTGCCAACCTCATGAATCAGGTCCAGGTAGCACGGTAGCGCCCGCGCCGCTCTGACGTCGCCATACGGTACCTTTACCGGACTGCGACATGCGACAGTGCCGTGTCCTCTGTAGCAGACGAAGTCTATCAAATCTCGTGCGAGCTAATTCAGCTAATGTGCGGAACAGCTGCAATGTTCACAGCCATGTGCGTCCAGCCGTCGCAAGATCTTGCCAAGTGTATGTGCCGTATCATGCCATCACTTTTAGCGACCCGTTCCGTGACTATGACGGCCGCCTGATTAACTGTTCCTACACTCCAAAAGCAGGGCATGTGAAACATCCGCCAGCTGCCTGTGGAGTGGACCAAGGCTTTGTGGAGGGTCCACGGAAGAAACCCGTCAAGGGCACCGCCAATCACAGTACTCACATTCCCAAGCTGTACCAGTGCAAGCGGAGCCATTTCATGTAGCTCCTTCGGGGCCTGTGCATCGTGGGGGACTCGGAATCTTAACTGCTGGCTCCAACAAGCGTGCTGTGAGTTGCCCCCTGCGCTCCCCGCATCCTGCAGAGACTTCCAGGACCGGGACACAGAGACGCCGAATTGCAAGAACCAGTGCGTGGGAGCTCCGTTGACGGCCCTTCGAACGACCAAGTCGACAGGGGGTATGGACGTCCAGTCACATGACACCCCATCACCCCCATCTCTCATCCCTCGAGCAAGAAGCCCACCCCAGAGGAAGGCAGCAGAGAAGCGGCCTTTCAGAGCGCTAAGGATGCACATCAGACCATGCTGCAGCGCATCAGGGCGAAACGGGCGAAACGAGGGCACGCTTGAAAGAGCATACGCAGCCCGGCACATACGTGACTGTTTGCAGAGGAGGCATGCCAGGGATGCCCACCAAATTTTTCAGCATTGGCGGCCCCTGCCCCACTCCAGCCTTGTTCCAGTGTGGTAAGCGCCACCTTGCCGGAACCATCTGCATCGACCTGTCGCGAGTCGGGTGCCTGCGTGATGGCTGCGATTTTCGGCCGAGCCTTGAGGAACAACTGCTGCATCTCGGCTCGAGAAGTCCCCAGAGGCAATGTGGACCTCGGCTCCCAACGGCTCTCAATGGCTCTCAATGGCCCCCTCCCATTTTTGCAATCGAAACTTCCAAAAATCCACAGGCTCTGGGCGCAACGTCCAGCCATTGCTCCGCGGTCAGCTCCCGCTCTCCAGGGAGCAAGAACCTGTGGAATGCGGTGGTTCGTAGGCTCGTAGGCTCGTAGAGTCCCAGCTTCACTTGCTCAAGGTCAGTCCAGGAAATATGAGTAAAGTGCAGCTGAGCTTAAGGCAGTGCCAAAGCATCGGACAATGCCAAACCAGCAGCCTCCAGCCTGCCACACGCAGAATGGCGAGCGGCAAGCACCAGGAGAGCTATGCAGGAAAAAGGCATGGTCAAGCCCCCCCAGAGTCCCACAACGCCTACGGCGTATTCTCCCGAAGATCAAGGCGCAGCCTTGAGCGGACAGCGACCTCTGCGGCCCAGAGCGAAGGAAATGAGCGAACTGCACAAGCACATGTGCAGTGGCTTCTTGTGTGCCAAGAGCATCACAAGAGAAAGCACTGTCGAATGTGTACTGGGCCGAACATGCAGCAGGTTGCAATAAAATCAGTAGGGAAACCTTGGACGACCCGAGTTCACGGCATTCGGCCTGCGTTGGTGCCTGTGCCATATACGTCGTGCGTGTTCGAAGTGTTCGAAGCACCGAAGGATACTGCGAAAGCTTTACAAATTCTGTTGGAGCAGCATTGACTAGGCGGCAACTTGCCTTGCAGAGCGGAGCTCGAGGTGCAGGTGAAAAATGTCTTCTCCTCAGCAGCAAACGTTTGGAAACCAGAGCCGTGGCTGAGAAGAGGCTGTCAAGCCTGAAGCCCTGCCGAGTTCACGGCAAAGTTGATTTCCACACTGCCAAGGGTTCCTCCCAATCCTCCCAGGGTTCCGCCAAGGGTCAACCCAAGCCTCAGAGATGGCCATTTCGAGACACCCCCCCATGTGAGATCAATTAGCAGCAACTTGGAGCATGGCGGATCAGTGCTCGAGCCGCTACCAGGCAAAGGAGGCCTAAGCTAAGTGAGACGCCCAGCTCGTCACTCGTCACTCGTCACTCGTCACTCGTCACTCGTCACTCGTCTGCACTCTGAGTTTCTGGCATCCCTGGTGGGGCAGGGGCCATCACTCCTTGCAGTGAAAGTTGCTGCTCCCCGCAACTGATCCCTGGCTTTGCCCTGCACAAGTCTGCTATGTTTCCGGTCCTGGCAGCGGCGGCATTCCCGGAGGCCTGAGAAGGGCAAATCGTCATGTCATCAGTGGGGCATTGAGTGGGGGAGAGACACAAAAAGTTCTGCCCCTGACGCTGGTGGGCGCGGAGGGCCGGGAGGACCGGGAGGGCCGGGAGGCCCGGGAGGCGCTGACCTGACCGCTGCAGTCAACACTGAAAAACCCACCCCATCCAAACTCATCCAAACTGGCATGTCTTGATGTGCGTTGATGGACTTTGACGCGTTTTTGCCTTCTTTCTTTTAAGCTGACGGCGAAGGGGGAGCTATGGGAGCGCCGAAGGTGTCCAAGAACTCACCTGGGCTCACAAAGTGCGAACGCACGCTCACAAAGCATGTGGAAGTCGCTAGCGCACGGTTCACATTAGGAACCTTCTCATGTGTCTCTCCACACCGCGAACCATGCAGTTGAAAATGCTCAAAGGAGCAGACCGTAGTCCACGTCACCCAAGCCTGGCACACGAGCTATCGGCAGGCCACAACACCATCCTTTTCCAGACACAAGGCGATACGATAGACCCAACAGATGCCGGCCACGCAGTTCTTGTCAGCGAGCAAAGCCAACAACTCCAGACTGAAGGCAGCATGGGCATGAAGGAGTCAGATTGGTGATAGGATGTGATAGGTGAATTCGATCTGAGACTTGTGTGAGGCTGCGGCTGTGGAGGAGTCAGCACTGGAACAAGCTCCTCTACTCACACAAGTGCTATCGCAAGCAAGAAACCCTAAACTGCCCTAAAACCCCGAGGCGCATTCTCCAGCATTCCGCAACCCGGCGGTCTTGCAGCGTGTCTTGGAAGATGGTCGGGGCCAACGTGCCGCTGCGCTCGATGTCCTGCGAACAGCACCCGGGAACTCCCTGGATCACGTGCGGGGCTGTGAGAGGCCAGCTGCGAGAGGCCTTTGCCCTCAGCAGATCATGCAGCCGCTTACCAGGCGGCGCCAAGACCTCTCCAAAGCATGCAATCTGACTGCCGACTCCGACAGGCAGCACATGCCTGTCGAGCCCACGTCTCGTACCTGACAAAAAGGCAACAACAAAAGCCCGTGCATAGCCACATCCTTGTGCATGCTACCACGAAGGAAGGTTAACAGCTTAGTTCTGCCACGGAACTGCTTGACTTCGTCTGCCACCTCTTGAAGGTACGTGCTGAAGGCGTCCTTGCGCTTTTCCACAGCTTCAGATAAACCGTCAAGAACAAGAGATGACAACCTGACCCAAGTTGCATGTATACTGTCGAAACAATAGGACAAGTGGCTTGTGCACACACACACACACACGGGATCCAATCTGTAGAGTGGGACATCAGGTGTCAAGATACTGCAGATGAGGATGTTACCGGTTGTCTCAAGTACCATGAAGTCCCCCGACGAAACTGTTGTGCAACAAAAGCACTACCAGAAGCTGCGTACTCTTATCTTCTTTCAGCCTGACAAGTCACTTCACCATAGCACTCTATTCCGGGCACTTGGCACGCTGTCCAGGGAAATCTTAGCCCCAGGAGATGGAGAGAGTGTTGATGTCAGCTGCTTGATCTCATCATCACTGAGACCTGGCTACATCCATGTGTATCCTGAGCAGTCTTGAATTCGGCAGCAAAACCAAAACACACCGCCCACCTAGGGGCATCGTCATCAGCGCATGTCCCATGGCATCTGGCGTCAGCGCACCATCGCCACTGGCCAACAAAAGCAAGGCTGATTTGGAGTGGGCTGCTCTGAAGACTGCATCATCCAGCAACCAGCGCAAGCCAGAGTGGCTCTTCATCAAAGGATGCGCAGGATGAGATCCAATTCAACTTCTGACCTCGAGCCATTGACTCAACTTGATTTCGATTGCGGAGTTTGCCACCACTGAAACCTGCGACGTTGCTGGCATCTGGGAGCCCGTGCCCACCAAGCGCCGCCGTATGCGCGCCATGATCACAAGAATCTTGGACCTAGTCCGACTCGAATGATTCTTTAAATTAAGTCCTGTGGGGGCCCGATCAGCTTACCTTACCAATGATAGCTCCTGCATGTCACCTCTCAACCGTAATTCGTAGCACTTCCGGGCTTCCAGCTCGGGCACCAGGGGCGCAGGGCCAGGTGCCTGCACAATGAAAGGGTTTGGGCTGATTAATGCTGAGGCTGCTAAGGGCGCAGTGCAACCAGCCACTCAACATCACGTGAAGCTATCGCGAGCACACAACTACAGGATTCAATGCCACCCTGGAAAGCTTACAACTCCAGAGAGCCCCATGAAACTTGTCAGGTGCCCATCGCACGGAAAACAACAGCGTCATGAGGGTTCTGAGTCTGGGCATCAACAACACCCTGAAAAAGTGCAATCAAGTCCGAATCAACCCAGCGCGCCGGTGGCGTCTCCTTGGGTGGAGGAGGTGGCGGCGGCGGCTTGGCCGCCCCGCCTGGCCTTGTCATTTCCAAGGAAACTCCGCTTTGCAGGACTCGCTTGCAGTGAACGGGGACCGGTACACACAGGGTACACAGCTCCACGCCTCAGTGTTGTTTTCTTGCGATCTGGCTCGGGTGGGCTGGGCACAGCCACTGGAGCAGACTGCTTGGCCAGGTAAGCCTGAAGACCGGGAACATCCCGCTGATTTCCAAACTCCCATGACCGCGTCCTTCACATACGGATTGGCAAACAGCTCGTTGATCGAAGGCCGGGACCTTGGTACACTTCAGTCACAATTTGGCCAAATTGTGCAAGTCGGCAAGGACCGGACTCAGCATTCTTCATGAGCAGCTTGTTGATGAGATCATTCAACTCGGGCCTAAGGGTAAGGATTTCGGCAGGACAATTGCAGCCAAACTGAGTCTGAGAATTCTGAGGCTAGGACGAATAGAATGACGGAATGGGATCCTGGGCTTGCCAGAAGCTTGCCGGGGCGGCTTGCCGTACACAGATACCTTCTGCATCTATCCTTCCAACCGACTTGACACAAGTTGATGCAAGGAGCATAGTGGTCGCTGACAATCTTGTAAACCAGGCCCAACCTCTTTTTTGCTGAAAAACTTGAGGCGTCTCAACTTTCATGTGGCCACCACACATTGTCCAAACTCACCAGGAAGGTGCTTAGTCACTTATTGCATCGGAGTGTGAGGCGCCGATTGGGCACGATCCGGGAGCAAGGCAATGACGAGGACTCAAAGGCATGCTTCAGCATGCAACACCTTAGAACATTCCAGAAGCACCAATGCATGAGAAAAAGGGAAACACCCGACGCCAAGTTGAGATGGCCACTCGTATAGTACGCATCCTAGTGCCTGAAGCGGCGTTCGCGCAACAAGTCTGACTTGCTGACGTGGCAAACATAGCCAAGCATAAGGTGACGACCCATATGTCAGACTTCCAGTTGTATGGCTCGCTCCGGCAAACTTCAGGAGACATGTAGTATGGCCTGTGGTCCATTGCAGCGCATGCCCAAACAATCTTCTGGAGAGCACTTTCTGGGGCACAACGTTCCGACGATGGTCACAGCAGCCTCAAGCCGACGTGCCATGCATGGCAAGTGCACACAGACCGTGATTGAAACAATACGTGAAACAATACGTTGCAGCGTCAGAAACAAATCAGCGAAGAAATCCAAGGCAAGTCAGAAACATATCGAACACCAAGGGTTGGGAATGGACATCAAGAGGAGCCATGGAAGGATTGCTCTTGTAGTTTTCCATCCGTTTGACGATCGGAGATCATGTCTTTTTCTGTCCCTCTTTGCACTGGCCTCGGTGGTGCCCTCCAGGACGCGTGAGATGCCAAAGTCACCAAGCTTTATGGCCGAGCCATCTGGCGAAAGCAAGTCAAACACGACACTCAAGTCCAAACATGAACTGCTAACACAAGTAACACGACTGGCAGCATTCCGGCCGGCCTTCGGTAAGGAAGATGTTGGAGGTTTTCAAGTCCCTGTGCAGAACTTTCTCTGAGTGGATGTACCTCGCGGCTTCTAGATTCTCGCCGATTGCAGGAGCCTCAACTCCCATAACCCAGGAACACATTTTGATTCAAGTAGTGAATGCTACATGTTTATAGGCGCACTGCAGCGCTAAGCACAGCTGGACGAACCACGTCATTATTTGCCTTGCACCCAGACAGCCTTCTGCCACAAGTAACTTTGCGAACTGCACTCTAAGATGCGGACTCCTCTGGAAAATGTCCACCTTCCTTCGCTTTGTCCTGCAACTGATGCTGCTTATGCAGCACTTATCCACTCTGGAGCAAACAGACCTTGATGGCTTTCCGAACATCGCCACCGCCACAGTACCTACAACCACAGATACTCTGAGAGGACCACCGCGCAAGAGTCTTATCCAGAGCCCGCGACTCCATCACAATCACCAAGGTATTTGCCTCAGGGGTGGAACCACAAACAAGGGGCCAAGGCATCGCTTGGCTTAAGACGACCATCACGCTTGCCAGGTCGGGGATCAAAGAACCACAGGAACACTCATGCCACCAGGGCCGTGGCTCGTTGGCCACCGGGCAATAATCCAAACATGTGTAGAACATCCGTAGTTACAAGTTTTGACTACATTCGGTAGTCGAAACTCTAAACCTGATTAGCCTGAGTGAGCACACAGAAACTTCCGGTCTGCTTGACAGCTGTTGAGGCTCTGCCAGACCACACCAAGGCCCCGACTCCTTCAATTAGGAAGCTATCCCGGTATGCAACAATGTAGGGGTGGCTCAACGTCTGCAAGAGGAAGACCTGCTTGTGACTTTGAAGAACTGTGCTCGTCGCGTCTGGCTCGATACCCGCCTCTTGATGCGCCAGGTCCTAGCAACCAGGGAGCCAGAGCAGGAATGTTGAAACTGGCGTGTCACATGTGCGCTTCTCGCCGCAACCGATAGCCGGTAGCCGATAACATGCGTTTGCACATGGAAAAGTGTGAACCACACGGTCAAGAGCGTCCTGGTCATGCTCGTTCAACGCTGCCAAAGAGATGCACTTTGCGACAAAAGTTTGCCCGCTTGCCTGGTGGAGCTGAAGGCATTTTGCAGAATTCGCACGTGGGCAAATCAGCCCAATGTATGGCCGGACAATTAGTCGAGGCACGGTCTCTTTGACAAGCTGTGCGCTGGCATACTGACCACGGCCTTTCATCACTGTGCTGCACACCATGTAAGGAAGCAAAACATAGGGCCGCGCAGAGCTCTCCAAGCGCGCGGCCGATGTGTTGGAGCCGCTCAAGTCCAAACCTAGTAAGCATGTTCACAGTTCGCCACATGACATTGCACTCATGCTAAACCCATGAGAAGTCCGTAATTGACAAGCTAAGCCTCTTGCCCAGAGAGGTCTATCTCGGTGGTGGGTTTAGACATACCAACAACGATCCTGACAGTCGCAATCGCTGTTACCACCCCAAACGACTGCCACTTGCAAATGATTGAGACAGCATCACACGCCTGTCATGGAACAGGGAAACGCCGCCAGCATGTTCGCAACATTGTCTACGTGTCCTAATTATGCTACACGAGCCACGTGCAAATGACCAAAAAACTCTCGCTACTTGAACCTGTCCCTCAGACACCTGAAAATCCTGAAACCACTGAATCAACGCCAGCCAAATACAACAGAACAACTGGCAATTAGGAGTCACCAAAACCAGAAACATTAGGAGTCAACAAAACCAAACGCCCTGTTGGGGGTCGAGGGCAAAGTTTGGCAACTGTTGCTACGACACCATGGGGATGCAATATGATGAAAATAATACCACGCTACACTTGGCCAACAGCCTTCGTACCAAAGCTTTTTCCCGAAATTTTGCAGCCACATTTTTTACAACGCGCAGGTAAGCATCACGTTTGTATCAAGATGATCTCATTTGGTCCAGTGAGAGCTCCAGGGCTTTTGAAAATGTTTCAGGAAGCACTAAGTGCTACATGCCAAGCTGCGGCTCTGTGGTAACTGATGGTGGCTTTAACGCTTCCTGCGTGAGCTACCCGCAGGTTTGGCAGAAGAAGTGATGCAGCACTCGAGCATAGGCATAGGTTGTTGCAGTGTTTCCGAACCCTGGGTTCTAACTCCGGGGGGTTGGGCTCGAACTCTTGGAACCCCGAACCCAGAAGGGGTGGAACATAGAGTTCTCGAGCCCCAGGGCTCGAAATTCGAACTTCGGATTCGACCCAAGGTTCGAACATCGAGTTCCCGAACCCAGGGTTCGAACATAGAGTTCCCGAACCCAGGGTTGGAACACAGAGTTCCCGAACCAGGGTTCGAACTTCAAACTTCGGATTCAACCCACGGGACGAACACAGAGTTCCCGAACCCAGATTTGGTGGGGATGGAGAGGTGGCCCGCCTGAAGGTCCCTGCATGCCATGAACCGCCTCCCCCGCACTCGCCATGCCCACACCCGCACAATCAACCCTTCAGCCGCCTTCTTCAAGGTGCGGGCCCACTTCTTAAATTCCTGAAGAGTGACATTCAAGAAACGGCATTGAGACAGCATCACACGCCTGTCATGGAACAGGGAAACGCCGCCAGCATGTTCGCAACATTGTCTACGTGTCCTAATTATGCTACACGAGCCACGTGCAAATGACCAAAAACTCTCGCTACTTGAACCTGTCCCTCACACACCTGAAAATCCTGAAACCACTGAATCAACGCCAACCAAATACAACAGAACAACTGGCAATTAGGAGTCACCAAAACCAGAAACATTAGGAGTCAACAAAACCAAACGCCCTGTTGGGGGTCGAGGGCAAAGTTTGGCAACTGTTGCTACGACACCATGGGGATGCAATATGATGAAAATAATACCACGCTACACTTGGCCAACAGCCTTCGTACCAAAGCTTTTTCCCGAAATTTTGCAGCCACATTTTTTACAACGTGCAGGTAAGCATCACGTTTGTATCAAGATGATCTCATTTGGTCCAGTGAGAGCTCCAGGGCTTTTGAAAATGTTTCAGGAAGCACTAAGTGCTACATGCCAAGCTGCGGCTCTGTGGTAACTGATGGTGGCTTTAACGCTTCCTGCGTGAGCTACCCGCAGGTTTGGCAGAAGAAGTGATGCAGCACTCGAGCATAGGCATAGGTTGTTGCAGTGTTTCCGAACCCTGGGTTCTAACTCCGGGGGGTTGGGCTCGAACTCTTGGAACCCCGAACCCAGAAGGGGTGGAACATAGAGTTCTCGAGCCCCAGGGCTCGAAATTCGAACTTCGGATTCGACCCAAGGTTCGAACATCGAGTTCCCGAACCCAGGGTTCGAACATAGAGTTCCCGAACCCAGGGTTGGAACACAGAGTTCCCGAACCAGGGTTCGAACTTCAAACTTCGGATTCAACCCACGGGACGAACACAGAGTTCCCGAACCCAGATTTGGTGGGGATGGAGAGGTGGCCTGCCTGAAGGTCCCTGCATGCCATGAACCGCCTCCCCCGCACTCGCCATGCCCACACCCGCACAATCAACCCTTCAGCCGCCTTCTTCAAGGTGCGGGCCCACTTCTTAAATTCCTGAAGAGTGACATTCAAAAAACGGCATTGAGACAGCATCACACGCCTGTCATGGAACAGGGAAACGCCGCCAGCATGTTCGCAACATTGTCTACGTGTCCTAATTATGCTACACGAGCCACGTGCAAATGACCAAAAACTCTCGCTACTTGAACCTGTCCCTCACACACCTGAAAATCCTGAAACCACTGAATCAACGCCAGCCAGATACAACAGAACAACTGGCAATTAGGAGCCACCAAAACCAGAAACATTAGGAGTCAACAAAACCAAACGCCCTGTTGGGGGTCGAGGGCAAAGTTTGGCAACTGTTGCTACGACACCATGGTGATGCGATATGATGAAAATAATACCACGCTACACTTGGCCAACAGCCTTCGTACCAAAGCTTTTTCCCGAAATTTTGCAGCCACATTTTTTACAACGCACAGGTAAGCATCACGTTTGTATCAAGATGATCTCATTTGGTCCAGTGAGAGCTCCAGGGCTTTTGAAAATGTTTCAGGAAGCACTAAGTGCTACATGCCAAGCTGCGGCTCTGTGGTAACTGATGGTGGCTTTAACGCTTCCTGCGTGAGCTACCCGCAGGTTTGGCAGAAGAAGTGATGCAGCACTCGAGCATAGGCATAGGTTGTTGCAGTGTTTCCGAACCCTGGGTTCTAACTCCGGGGGGTTGGGCTCGAACTCTTGGAACCCCGGTTCAACCCAGGCTTTGAACATAGAGTTCCCGAACCCAGAAGGGGTGGAACATAGAGTTCTCGAGCCCCAGGGCTCGAAATTCGAACTTCGGATTCGACCCAAGGTTCGAACATCGAGTTCCCGAACCCAGGGTTCGAACATAGAGTTCCCGAACCCAGGGTTGGAACACAGAGTTCCCGAACCAGGGTTCGAACTTCAAACTTCGGATTCAACCCACGGGACGAACACAGAGTTCCCGAACCCAGATTTGGTGGGGATGGAGAGGTGGCCCGCCTGAAGGTCCCTGCATGCCATGAACCGCCTCCCCCGCACTCGCCATGCCCACACCCGCACAATCAACCCTTCAGCCGCCTTCTTCAAGGTGCGGGCCCACTTCTTAAATTTTTGAAGAGTGACATTCAAGAAACGAAAGAAAAAACGAGGGTGGTGGAAAATTCTCTCTGCCACCAGTTTCTCCCATTCTGTTCTGCTTTTGATGATGAGCTCCTCTCGACGTCATTTGGCACGTCGGCGTGAAGAAGAGACTACCCTAAGCAAAAAGGGCAAGGACAGGCTCCTGGCAAGCAAACAGCGGAACAACAGAAGACACAAAACCCCAACCAAAGCAACAGAGCCCATTCTTGCGGCGGCTAATAACAAGAGTAGAAACTACTCGAGCGTCACACAACTACACATATAGACCAGTTTCTCCCATTCTCGAAACAGAAAAAACAAAAACTAAACAGCAACAAGTGGAATTTAAAGCAATTTTCCCCGAAAAATGAAACACAACAAACAAAAACAAAGAATGCGCACTTTACGCCGCCTTGGAAGGTATGTCGATGGCGTTTTCAGGACGCACAGCACAAACAAGGCAGAAGTGCTGAAAAAACTGGCAGGTGCAGTGAATTCGAGATGTCGCATGGAAAAGGCCAAAAGTTGCATGAGTGGAAAGCGTGGCAGGCATTCAAGACAGAACATCCATAATTCAAAACAGATATTCATTGGCCTGCGTGGGGTTTCCTCGCGTTCCGCGGGCAAGAAGAAGCACGTGTCCAGGCGTCGATGGTTTTCGCGTGGCGGGCACGCGATCACCCCCACCCCCCACCCCCCATACCCTCCACGGTGGCGTAGAGCGCAGGCCACAAAGAAACGAAGGGAGGTGGAATTTAGAACAAGTCTCCCTGCCCACCAGTTTTCCTACCACTCTAGTTCTCGGAAAAGAATCACAAGAAACAAAAACAAGAAACGAGGGGGTGGAATCTAGAATATTTCTCTCTGCCACAATCCTCGAAGAATGAAACAAAAGAAACACAAGCAAGAAACGAGAAAAGTGGAACAATGAGTCTCCACCACTCCAGTTTTCGAAGAATGAAACACAATTGTTGGGAGTCCAATGGTCCGTGTGCATTCAGGCTCGAATTTACACAAAGTGACTATGTGAATATTACCCCAAATAGAACAGGCATCAGGTAACTCATCTCAAAGTCCAGATCTATAAAATCACAATACGCATAGAACGAATCTTGGCGAGTCAAACTTGCACTCACAAACTCTCTGACTTTCTGAAACAAAACATGACGCCAGAGTCAGAATGCCGTGTGGTCGGTCAAAGTGTGAAAAGCAGAGCTCGCGCAGCTGTCTCTTTTTCACTTCGCACTTGAGCCAAACACCAAAGTGTTCAGCAAGTTTCAGTTCTTGCAGCAAGCTCTCTCCAAGAGCTAAGGGCTCCAAAATGCTACGAATTCCATCTCAACTTTGTTCTACAAAGGAAAAGAGCAATGCAACTGCTTTGGTCTATACCTCGGGGACTTCAGGTCACTTCCTAACAGCAAAACAGCGAAGCTTCAGAGTCCACTCTGCACTCCTACTCCCATCCTACACGTCCAACGGCAACGAACGAAGTGGCGGGGACACGGAGTGAGTTGCAACAAAACAGAACCTCAGAGTTCTGACACGCACTTCTTCACTACTGCTCTCAAGCAGTTCCAAGTGCTTCAAAACTCATCCTCGGCCATGCCAACAAGACGAGACATGTGTCGCAGTCAACCCAAACATGCTTTAGGGAC